TACTCTGGCTTCTTTCAAGTAACAGCCATGTGAGATTCTCAGATCAATGAGATACTAGCAACCAAACAACCATGAGGTGCCCAATGGCCTCTTGTTTCCCTTTCTTTTGTTCTTAAATCCTCACAAAACAAAACACATATTTAGTGATTTCCAAGAACATCAGTTCCAGCTCTTTGACACAGATCTGAAAAACTCGACAGCCAACTGGTGATTTTAAGATAATTAAAGAAGAGCAAAGGACACAAAATGAAAGCCAGTGTCAATTTTTTAGCCAGCCAACCTTTGGGTTGTTAGGATTTTATTGTGGTACACATGAAATCACAGAGATACAAAAGACAGAGATACAAAGATGAGAAAAAAATCTTAACTAGCACACATGTATTCAATACAAAATACAATACAATACTACATCCCAGTGAAAACAGAGATCCAGCAATTTACCAATCCATAATTTTTGAACAATGTTGGGTTAATAGCATCCTGCCATATTGTTACTGAAGAAACATATCTTTAGGAAACATTTCTGAAATATATTTCATAATTCTAATTAGATTGTTCAGGTTTATGTTGCAGTTGCACTACAGTATGTATTACTGATATTACTGAACAGTAAAAAAATCAAATTCAACCCAACAGATTTCAGTTAATCTGTTGCAGTCACTGGCTGAACAGTGACTGATCCACACTGTGACTCTTAAAGTAATGTAATGTAATGTAATGTTTCTTTATTAGCCCTATACAATTTCTTGCATTAGGAATTCGTCTTTTCGCAAGTGTTTGGAGCAGTGAGGCGGCACAGGCATGCAAAGCTCTTTCCTGTATACAAATCCTGTCACAGACAGTTAGACAAGGCCTGAGCTGGAAATCAGGTGCAATTCTACGGTTTGGCTCCTTTTAGCTATTTTCTTTAATTTGTGTTGCATTGAAGGAAGAGTGATTCACAAATAATCAAACTTTTCTATTATATACATTGTATACGTCAGTTTGCCTATATTGCTTTTATATTGTCCAGTATTGCTAGTAGCCATAAAAGTGCTCTTACCATTTGGTATTTCAGTTTCTAAATGTTCCTGTAATTTCAAATCATCAAATCATTACAATTAACAGACAAAGAAGCATTGAATACAGAAATATCATGCAGAGTGGGTAACAATTTTAATTTAGATGTTTAAACGATCACACTGTTTTAGTAATATGTGATATGTCAAGGACATATGATGTTTCTTTTTGAAGTTAGTATGTGATAGTCTGATGTGATGGTGTTGTTTGTGTAGAGACACAGGTAAGGGAAGGAATGGCATCTTCAATAGGTCATCACCATGACCCAAAGAATGTGTCCAGAAGATATAGATGAAGTGTCAACATAGTAATTTTTTCATGAATGGGTCTCTAGCTCAGTGTTTCCCATTTTTTTTGTAAGGTTTATGAAACCATTTCATCCAACATGGAAGGACAATATCTATCCATGACACCTTGTGATTAAAAGCCCAGTGTGCAGCAGATCAGATGAGGAAATTAAGAATGAATCAAGGATACCAAATTCACATCCCTACTCTCTTTAATAACCCCACTCAAGTCATGGATCTCAGGTTAAAATTTAGAATTTAGTTTAATGTGTCATCTGAAGGATATCAGCTCCTACAGCACTACATTCCTGTGTGTTTGCTTGTAAATAATTAATTGGTTAAGCAACACCAATCACAGCAGGAACCTGGTTTATCTTGGAGGTCTCCCACTACTATACTGATCTGACCCAGCTGTGTTCAGCTTCTGAGATCTGATGAAACCAGGCTTCAGGGTGGTAATGCATTTGTAAATTATGATCAAACGCAACACGTATAATGTTCTTATACATTTATTGTGTACTGTTGTTCAAGATATGCTAAGTTAGCTTAGTCAAACAAAAATATATTCATTTTGGTTTCAATGCTTCGTTGAGCAAAGAGCCCCAGTGTTCCCAGCAGTAGAATCAGTGGCATCATTGTCCTGTGTGTTTCAGTAACTCTGAAAGGGCTGAACATTGACTGATTCACACTGTGAGTCTTAACTAAACACATCAGTGAGTGAGCACATACAGTATTAGTAACTATCCCATGCTGTTAGAATATAACAACTTCTTGAAAACAAGATATATTCTAGAAAACATTAGTTACATTTGGGCACAAGATTTGTTACCTACAGTAACTCCTGGAATACTGTGATAAAGATGTACAAACATTGTTTAATTTATCATTCAGAATGATGCAGGACCAGCATATTCCAGCAGACATGTCTTCAGTGTAGCCTGTGTTTCCAGCACTGACTGGCTACAAGTGCTGCTGAAGCCAGGAAGACAATTTGCATAGAAGATACACTTTGCATTGACAGCACATGCTTCAGAGCTCTGGGAGTGCTTATAGACCTGTGAGTTTAACACTTCATGACTGAGAGCTGCCCTTCATGGCAACAGATCACACAGCAGCAATGACTTTCATCACCATCTTCATATGGACACTTGTCTGCTTTCATGGTGAGTAGAAATTAAATTAATGCAATGAAACATAACCTAGGGAGATTTACAATGTAAATGCATTTTCTGTACTTTTTCAACGCTGAAACTAATTGCAAGAAATAATTCTATTTTGGGCATTTCAGGCATATCATTATGACATTATAGTACCAGTAATACAGTACATTCATTTTTTTCATTCCAGGTTCCAGTGGCCAGATTACTGTGACTCAGACTCCATCAGTGACATCTGTTCTCCCAGCACAGACAGTCACTGTGAGCTGTAAGACCAGCAGTTCTGTGGGTACCTGTTCTTATAGTGGCTCAAATTACCCCTGTCTTGCTTGGTACCATCAGAAGCTGACATGGTGTGTTCACAGAGTGTTACACGGCCGTACAAAAACCTCCCTCAGCTCTCCAGGAGCTGCTCTGGCTCATCAACAGGCAACCACAGAGGACTGAGGCAGAGAACAGCTGCAGAGCTCCTACAATCACACTGAATAGGGTTGAGTTTGTACATCATTTATACATATTGTGTACTATACATACAAAAATAATGTGTATATAAATATATTAATTTTCAAACAATCCCAGCATGCTGCTGGAGCACAGGGACACAGTGCTGTAGAAGTTGCTATGTCTGAAGGTTGCGGTTGTTCAGGTGTCTGCAGAAGCATGACATGACAGCGTGTCTGTAGAAAATAAACCTCTCCAGTTCACGTTAGCAATTACTTGTCTTTGTAGACAGAAGTAGACATTTGGTGTGGATGATGGCTGTGTAGGGATTCAAGGAGTCAAAGAGCAGTTCAGTGAAGGTTTGAAATGTTTAATTTGTGATGAAAGCAGATATTTCCAGAGAAAACTGAGAAGTCACATCCTCCAACAGTGTCCTGAACTCTAGCAGGGGGTTGTATAGTCAAAGTACAGCACTGGTCACCCTACGTTATTGCTGTTAATGGAAGTTTGTGAGTGACCACTACCAATCGTATTGCGATTAAAATATTTCCACTAATGGCCCAGTTGTTTTTCCTGATAATGTTATCCTTACCTTTCAGTTACTCCTGAGGTGTCGAGTACAAGAGTTATTTCTGACAGGTCTCGTACAGCAGGTGTGTGTTTAAATGCACTCCAGCCAGGTCAGGAGTACTGACCACAGGCCAGACTCAGATCTCTACTAGCTGGTACACTGAGGGCAGCAGCTTTCCTTTCTGTGTGCTGATCTCAGCTTGGAGAACATTCAGCGCCTTTTCTATCAGGTCCACAGCTTCGAAATTAAGAGCCAAAATCAATTGGTTCA